ACAGTACATTGAAGCTTTGAAAATAACTATAAATAAACAATATATCAATCGCTGCATTTCCCCACCCCCAGAAATATGCAAGGTTAACCCTAACATTTTATTTTAAGATTTAACATTTGTAGATGGTCTAAAACAAAAGAGTTGTCAAAATTCTGAAAACCTTTTAGAGCTTATGATTTGTTTAAAAAAAAACACATTGCAGATTAATGAATAAATCAGTATAAAATTATTTAATTTACAAGTGTCATGTTTGTGATTTTTATGTAAACTATAGCTTCTGACCTTTAAATCAAAACATACTCATTATTTTATGACATCAATTACTGCTTTAATTATCAGAAACACAGTCTAAATGTTATTTGTGTAGGCTATTTTACTTTTACTTTAATTTGACGTAGGCCAATAGTGCCCCCTACAGATTAAAACTCCTTACCGAATGGGCATTAAGACCCAGGGGAGGCTACCGCTGCACTTGCTATTACTGTTTACTCTATCATACACCAAATGCGTCATTCTGTACGTGCTTTCACAGATTAAATGCAGTGATCCAAACAGTCATCTACTCATCATTCAGACAAAACTTTGCTTCAAGAATGAGCCACACTGCTGACGTGATCTAATCACAAGCACACCCTGAGCACATGTGAGTTAACACATTCCTCTTATCGGCAAGACATATCGGCATAATTTTTCATATCGGGCCGATGCCTAGATTTACATTTAAAACCATTATCGGCCGATTCCGATATCAGTCCGATAATATCGTGCATCCCCTAGCTTGTGTATATATTTTAAATGGATAGTTCACCCAGCAATGAAAATTGTTCCAACTTGTTCCAAACCTGTATCTTTCTTTCTTCTCTTAGGCACAAAAGATATTTTGAAGAATACTGGTAACCAAACAGTTGCTGATAGCCATTGGCATAGTATATTTTCCATACTATGGAAGTAAATGGCTACTGGCAACTGTTTGTTTCCCAACATTCTTTAAAATGTATTTTGTGTTCAGCAGAAGAAAGAAACTCATTCAGGTTTGAAACTGCTTAAGGGTGAGTAAATGACAAGATTTTCATTTTTGGGTGAACTATCCTTTTAAGACTCACTTTTTGTGGTTCAGCATGATTCATACTTTGTGTATGGAAATGTTTACTGAAACATGTGTCTCTTTCTTTATGGTTGCCATAGGAACACCATCTCCAGAGGGCGATTTCTGCCCAGCAGGTGTACGGAGAGAAGAGGGATAACATGGTGATTCCCGTCCCAGAGGCCGAGAGCAACATCACCTACTATGACTCGCTCTACCCCGGAGATTTCAGGATGCCAAAGCAGCTCATTCACATACAGCGTGAGTGCACAGGTCTTATTGAGGGAGTTTTTCTTTAAAGGTCCTATATTGTCAAAACTGAAATTTCCTGGCTTTTTTCACGATAACTGAGGTCTAGGGGCTATTTAACTGCCATATAAGTTTCAAAACAGTCAGTCCACAGTAAAATGCACACAGCCTGCATAAAGTAGCTGTGATTTTTCACGAACCGTTGTGATTCCGTAAAAAGTTGATGTCAGAACTACACAGTCACCGCCTTCAGTCACCACCCCGAGCACTGCCCACCGTCCCACTCTCCTTTTGCCAAACCCCCAGACAACATCGCGTCCATGCCATTGCTGAGCAACGACAACACGGAAAGATGTCGAAAAGGTTCACTTTAACCACAAAACCAGATCAGCCGACCTGTAACGTTACACTCTCACTCAAAGGATGGACGATCTGACAGGATTGTTACAATGAGGTGGATCACATCTAACGTGTATAGTAAAGACAAACTCACCATGTCTATCTAGTCATGATGAAGATGTATATACAAGGCTGCCTATTGAGGAACCCTGGTATAAGTCATTATAATCAGTAATTATGTCCCCACTGGATGCAACAAATGCCTAGTTTATAATGGGTTTTATTGGTTTTGTCTCATCGTGCCGGGACACGGCATCACAATATGGTAAAGGGCGTAACATTTCCGTCACCCGCTTGAGGAATTCGGTCAATCACAACGCTGGCCATATCAGAGCACACCTCGCTTTTCAGACCGTCACTTGTGGACGCACGTTCACGACAGTACCTGATAGCGCGTGCTGTTAACGAGACCTGAACAGCACACATTGATATCTGTGTTTAAACTAAACTTGTTTAACCTTTGCCAGTTTAAACATTTAAGAGCCAGAGGAAGATTTGTGCATGCGCTCATCCGAATCGCTCGAACGCGCGCAAATATTAAGCTTTCTCTTAAGTATTGTTTAAATGGACAAATTCACACAAAAATTGTCAAAATGCCCTTCTTGGTAAGTATCCTATAGCAGACATAGCCGGCTGAACATACTGTATCAGTGCATTCTCTTAAAGTGACAGCACTTTCTTAATGTTAATCCAACAGCAACAACAAAAATCACTCACTGCTCTTGATTGAATAGCTTTTGTAACTTTAATAAAGATTTATACAGTCAAATATGCAATGCTGTTTTACATTTCATTACTTTATTCCATTTCTGTACCTGAAAACTAATGTTAGACCTACCTAAAAAAAAAACTGAAAATCACGGTTTATTTTATTTGTATCTTTACTCCATTGTATTTATTTGTGCTGTTGCTTGTAGTTAGATTATTCTTATTTTCTTTGTTTATTTGACAGTATAGTTTTTGCCTAAACATAGCACATACCGAATCCATGACTCTAAAACCGTGATACAAACCGAACCTTGAGTAAGTTGAACCGTTCCACCCCTAGTAGTTACCTTGCTGTCTATGGGAGGGTCAGAGAGCCCTCAGATATCATCAAAAATATCTTCAATTGTGTTCCGAAGATGAACGAAGGTCTTAATCTCTTTGGATTTGAGACTTTAGTCTTTGCAACTTTACAGATCTTCTTTATGCATCAAGAGCTTGTAACACTCCAAAGAGAAAGGAAAAATTTAAATAGCATCTTTTCTTATTCTATTTGTTCTTATTCTGTCATTTTAATTAAAAGTTTTAAAAAGCTTATAAAATAGAATTTGACAAAAGATGACATACTTTTAATAAAGTTTGAAAAATGCCATTACAAAAGGTAAAAACAAAATTCCACCGTAAATCACTGAGTCAAATATCAATCACCTCATAATGGGAAGGCTAATTTTTGATGATAAATTTTGGATTATTGATTAGAAGATCAAGAAATCTCTTAAATAGTACCTGCCTGACAAAGTGAAGTAGACCAAAAGATCCTCAAAAGCTAGACATCATGCCGAGATCCAAAGAAATTCAGAAACAAATGAGAAAGAAAGTAATTGAGATCTAGCAGTCTGGAAAAGGTTATAAAGCCATTTCTAAAGCTTTGGGACTCCAGCGAACCACAGTGAGAGCCATTATTCACAAATGGCAAAAACATGGAACAATGGAGAACCTTCCCAGGAGTGGCCGGCCGACCAAAATTACCCCAAGAGCACAGCGACGACTCATCCAAGAGGTCACAAAAGACCCCACAACAACATCCACATCCATCCTCACTTGCCTCAGTTAAGGTCAGTGTTCATGACTCCACCATAAGAAAGAGACGGGGCAGAAAAAATTGGTCTGCATGGCAGAGTTCCAAGACGAAATCCGCTGCTGAGCAAAAAGAACATAAAGGCTCATCTCAGTTTTGCCAGAAAACATCTTGATGATCCCCAAGACTTTTGGGAAAATACTCTGTGGACTGACGAGACAAAAGTTGAACTTTTTGGAAGATGTTCAGAAAAATACCAACAGTAAAATATGGTGGTGGTAGTGTGATGGTCTGGGGCTGTTTTGCTGCTTCAGGACCCGGAAGCCCGGAAGACATAAATGGAACCATGAATTCTGCTGTTTACCAAAAAAATCCTGAAGGAGAATGTCCGGCCATCTGTTCGTGACCTCAAGCTGAAGCAAACTTGGGTTCTGCAGCAGGACAATGATCCAAAACACACCAGCAAGTCC